GGCTCAACCTCCAGGGTGATGGTCTTGCCAGTGAGGGTCTTCACGAAGATCTGCATGCCACCCCTGAGACGCAGGACAAGGTGAAGGGTGGACTCCTTCTGGATGTTGTAGTCGGACAGGGTGCGACCATCTTCCAGCTGCTTGCCAGCAAAGATCAGCCTCTGCTGGTCGGGGGGAATGCCTTCCTTATCCTGGATTTTGGCCTTGACATTCTCAATGGTGTCACTGGGCTCAACCTCGAGAGTGATGGTCTTACCAGTTAGGGTTTTCACAAAGATCTGCATGTTTTCTCCTGTGAAAAAGATTCCATATTACCAATAGTAAAACATAAGTGTCTCTCTCTCTCTCTCTCTCTCTCTCTCTCACACACACACACACAAGATATGACTAATAAAGATATTTGATCAGCATGCTGTGAAATAGCACTGTATTTGTAAAATACTGGGCAATTATTTCTTCCTTGTAGAAACGCACACCAAAATTGGTTTATGCATACGTTTTCTTTATATACTATCAGTCGGTCTACTAGTTATCCTTCCAGCAGGTGCGATAAACAGGACTGAGTCATACACCAGTTTTATAACATACTGGTAGGAAACCGGTGTTTCGCGTACCAGCGCCATTTTAACATAAGCTATTGTTGTTTGCCCCCTTTTTGTCCAGCTGACGTTACACCCTAATGGACGGTAGCCATTTTTATTAGTTAACGTTAGCGTTTTTACGGCATAGTTCACAGAAAGCATCTTGCTTCCAACGTAACATAACGACAGTATTCGTTTTAGAATTGGTATATCAGTTGCTAAACAAGTTACATCTTTACAGTCACTCTTTATATAGCTGTTGGGTCGCACATTAAAAAATAACTAAATAAAGAACATTTAAAATGTGTTTCACAGATCAGCGGAAAAGCAGTTGATGTCAGAAATCTAACAAATAATGCTTTTAAAAAACGCATAGTCATACTTACAGCTTGAGTTCACTTACGTTTCCTTGCTCTCAATACACAGACACCACCCTCTGACTGCAGTTGCCAAGGGAAACAGGACTTTTTATACTGGAGAAGCGTCATCGACTGATATTCATCCGCAAATGAAACTAGATCCCTGTTCTTGCAGTTTTTATTGTATTAGTATTGTCCAGTGTTTTCTTTTGATAGGGAAAATTTACATTACATTGCATTAAACGGACTTTTGTATGTTTGCTTGTTTCAAACTGTAGTAAATGAATCTATTTTTCTGCCCCAATAAAGTGAATAAAATGAATGGCCCTAAAAAAATATTTCACAACTTTATTGTTTTTGTTATGTTTATCCCGTGTTAATCTTACACTATAGCTGCCCTGCCTCAGTGGTCATAATAGTAATATGTAGCATGATTAATACAACTACTGCACATGTGCATTTACAATGATAAACCTATGTGAACCACATGAATTGATGTATGATTATGCTATGATTAATATCAATTATATATCACCAAACAATAGTCCCCTCAAAGTCCTTTAAGACCCTACAGAGGGAAAATCCCAACAACCAGACGACCCCAGAACCAGGCTCAGAGAGGGGCAGCCATGTACTGCGACCGGTTGGGGGTTACAGTAGGGAGGCAGGACAAAAGCTGTGACAAAAATAATTAAGCATTAAATACCGAGTGCTATATAAACACCGAGTGAAGAGAGGTGAATGAAGAAGAAATGCTCAGTGCATCATGGGAAACTTTCAGCAGCCTGGGCCTGCAGCATAACTAAGGGATGGTTCAGGTTCTCCTGATCCTGTCCTACTTTTTAATTTATATATAAACAACATTTGTGATGTGTCAAAAATGTTAAATTTTGTTTTGTTTGCAGATGACACAATCTTTTTATTATTCTGGAGAAAACTTGAAAAAAGTGGCTAAAGTTGAGGTTATTGAAATGAAAAAACTAAAAAGAAATGGTTTGATGTAAATAAGTTATGGCTGAACTCCATTTTCTGGGTGTAATAGTGGAATACAAGTTAACATGGAAATCTCATATTGAACATGTTGAAAAAAGGATGGCCAAAACAATTTACATCCTGCGTAATGGAAGATATATATTAGATTACAAGGCAATGCAAATATTATATATTTTTTATATTTTTACCCTGAGTTATTGTGTTGAAGTGTGAGGGGATACATATGTGACTAATATAAAAACATTAACCCCTTTAAAATATGCTTTAGTTCACATTTTAATCCAGTAAGTCAGTAATCAACATATAAACAATATCTGTGCAAAGATTTATCCTTCTGAAGTGAAACAGTGAAAAATGACTGCACTTTTAATAAATACATATTCTGGCATTCCATACTTTGTCCAATTTTGAAAAACTTTGGACACCATATGTGCTGCTATACAGCAGAATTGATCACCAGCTGCCTATTATTATAACACTAAACCTTAAAGAAGACTAAATCCTGCATTGGAGTAAGTAGTTCGGATCTCTCCTATATGTTTCATCTGGTAGAGCTGGTAAGTATCAGAAGCGTGCCATCTAGTCTAACCTCCCTGGTACCTGTCCTAGCCTGTGCAACATGGGCTTCCTCCCATCTGTAGGGTTGCAGCGATAACTAGTGCCTGCTTCACCTTTACATGATATCACCCCTTATCATAAAACTGAGTGACTTCATGTCTGATTTTTGCAAACATAAACTGAGCACAAAAGGTGAGACAGTTTGTGTTTGGTCAGTTTTTTTTCTTTGTTGTAACTATGCTTCTTGGCAATAAATCTTATACTGCTGGAATCCCTGTTTATGAAATGGTGTCACATTTGTAAGGAAAATATGGGTTGAGTAGCAGAGTTGAGTATGTGGGTTGTGGCCATGAGAAGTAGGGGCCTCAGTAACATGTGGAAGAACCTTACACAGCCACAACAGCCTGGCACCTCCTCCTCATGCTGGTCACCAGCTTGGTCACACACCAAGCTGGTGACCAGCCCTAACTCTAACCCTCTTTCTGTCACTATATTTTATTCAAAGCTTTGTGGAAAATGCTTCACCTGTAAAAGTTTCAAAGTCACCAGTGACATTTTTTCACCAGCAGAACGTTCAACAGCTTCATCAGAATGAACCACAGTTGACGACATCACGAGAGTCAGAACACAGAACTACTAAAAAAAAAATCAATGACGTTCATCTCTGCATCATTTAATTTGGATGTAGTTGGTGGAGAAATATCAGTAAACAGTTTGCAGCATTCATCACAGCAATCAGTAGTGATTAGTCCACATTTGCTTTGTGTGTTTAAACAGTTTGCTAAAGAGATTTCAAATCTTTTTCAACGACATTTTAAACGTTTGAAACCAGTCAGCTAACGTTTGACAGCTGTACCGACCAGATTCCTCCAGTCTATTGTAGCAGACTGTTTTCATCCTAAAAAAATGGAGAGAGGAGATGGACCACAAAACGGTATGTTGCGCAGGTTATTGAATGAAGAAAACTTCCGTGTTCTGGGTCAAGTTATTAATCAGCTGCCACAACGTGATATTGAGGAGGACAATCTTCAGAATGACGAGGAAGAGGCTAATGAGGAAGATGATGAGGAGGTGGTTGATGTTCCAGTAGGAGGCATTGAAAGAAATCCACCTCAGGAAATAGAAGGACCCTGGTACAATAATGGAGCAGGAGACTTTGAATTAAACCCAGCTGAGCAAGCAGAAGATCTGATAATTGAGGTGGTTCTGGGAAGATGAGGAGTCTGAGAGTGACACTGTCCCTGAAAATGGTCCTGATAGTGACACGGATAACAGTGACAATGATGATGGAGACAATGGTCAGGATGCTCCTGTGTTATTGCCCCCCAGCCCAGTACCAGGAGGTTCAAGGAGGAGACCAAGGGAGGACGAGGATGAAGAAGAAGATGGGAGAGCTAGAAAACAATTTAAACACTGAACTTTGAGCTGAGCTGAAAACTCAGAGTTGCACCCATTTTCTAAAGCTACATAATGTAATTATAATATATATATACATATTTATAATATTTATATATAATATACATTGTGTTTCCTTCTGCAGAGGAGCTTGCATCCAATAAAAGCAGCAGGAACAAACCCAGGAAACAAATAAGAAGGAAAAAGCGAAAAACTGCAAAGCAGAAAATTAGGAAAACAGAGACTTAAAGAAAGGAAGATAAATAACAGAAAGAAAAGAAGAAAATGTCATGGCTGTGTGAAGGCAGGCAGGAATGGTGGACCCAAGAGCAGGACTCACGGAGGCAAATGTGAAGTCAAAACACCCAGCTTTATTGGGAGATAGGAGACTGAACAGAAAACTAACTAAACTGGGAAAGCAACATGCAGGAAAACGGGCAAACAGAGTAGAATGTGGGACGACGTGAAAACGAGCAGGGGAAGA